TATTATTATTATCATTATTATTATTATTATTATTATTATTATTATTATTATTATTATTATTATTATTATTATTATTATTATTATTATTATTAATTATTATTTTTATTAATTATTATTATTAGCAGTAGTAGTACTATCGTTTTTATTATTGTTGTTATTATTACTACTGTTATTTTTATTATTAGTTATTATTACTATCATTAATATTGTTACAGTTATTATCATTGTTATTATTGTTATCATTATTATTATCATTATTATTATTGTTATTACTATTATTATCATTATTATTGTTGTTGCAATTTTTTGTGACGATTTAAGTGCTGCAAAGAATTTTGTTCATTTCATTTGTTAATGATTTATCCTGAATAATTTTAATGGAATTGAACAATTTTATGCGTTTGGTTTGGTTTTAATTACGAGAAATCAATGCTATACAAAGAAAAAAAAGTCAATGCTTTTTAAAAATTGCACGAAACTTTTAACATAAATTTTCTTCCCGATTTTTTCCTTAATTTTATTTCATTTCAATAACTTTAAAATTTCTATTTCAATAATGCTTTTTTTTTCAGGAACAATTTGGAATTATATAGGGAGTCGATGAATATAATCCAAACGGGTACGAAATACATATGTATATATTCCAATGATAATATCGGTCTTTTATTCACCGGACCATAAATAAATTGATTTATTAATTGATTGAGTAGATAAATAATATCAGATAATTAAATGAGCTTCCAAATTTTTCTATTTTGCTTTTTTTTTCCTTTGATGAAATTATTATTTTAACAATCTATAACTGCTTTTTATCAATGATTGACAATTGTTTTTTATCAGTAATCGATTACTGCTTTTATTAATAATCGGTAACTGTTTCTCATCAAAATTTTGCATGGAGTTAAAGAAGGCATACAAAGTTCTCTTGAAGGAATATATCAAAATTAAATTAATAATTCCAGAAGGAAAAAAAAGAAACACTGAAATTTTTGAAAATGAGTGAGCGTTATCAACGTTGGTTGCAAATTTTCAAACAGCTAAATGAACATTCACCAACCAAAGAAGATATCGATTTGATTGCTCCATCACATATTAAAGGTGATTACTACTGTGCACGTTGTAAAATATTGTTTTATTCGTTGTCTATGTCAGAAATTTTCCTCCTGAATTACCGTATACTTTTCAATATTCTCGAATTAGTGGTGGATATAACAACTTTTTAAAATTTCAATTTTAGAAGCTAAAATATATTTGCTGGTGACGTTGAGAAATGTTAGGAATGTTTCCTGTTTTTTTGATCTCTTTAAATGCCTACCATAAAAAAAATTAGTTTGATTTGAGATCAAATATTGAGAAGAAGAGCAAGGAACTGTTCATGTAGTTTTTTCTTTCATTTCTAGAAAAAGGTAGTCGATGTTTTAGAAGAATATCTGAAGTTGCATGCACCGGAAAAAGTAATTCCGAAACCGATTCCAAAAGTGAAACTCAAACGGTCATTCGATAAACGAGATTGTCTTCCTGAGGTATGGTAATTTGTTTAGTGCTATTATGTTTACACTAGTTGTAGGTTTCAAATTTTTGGTTTGCATTTATTCAAAATTTGTTTATTCCAATAATATGATTTAGTCCCTTGCCAAAATATTTCCTTTATTGGTCTGTTATAATCAAATTATTCATCATCCTGTAAACTGCCTGACCCACTTACCGTCATTTATATTTCACATGAAGTGTAATCGCTTACGCAAAACATAAACTATCTAAATTAATTTGCTTTGATTACCAGCGGAATCACGATATTTTTAATATTTTGATTTTTGACTTGTGAATGATACAACATTAATGTTGGAAAATATCCATATCGTGAATAAATTAGGTTCGGTAATGATTTTCGGTGCTTTAATATGGGTTATAGCTAATCCATTGTATGGCTGAGCTCATAGGATACATCAAGACGGAAAGGAAGAATATGAAGATAATAGATGTTTGATTACATTACCGGATGATGAAGGATCACCGCACTCTCAATCTTTGAAAAAAATATTCGAAATGTATGAGGAGGAGGAGGAGGAGGGAAGTGAAGTAGATGGAATCGCAAAATTATTTCCAAACAAAGGGAAAAGAAAGTTAAGGTCGAACTAAGTATTTTTGAATTTGATTAATGTCGTAAAAGAATTTTGGTTAAGTGGTGAGGTTTTTTTTTTCGTTTTTTCCTCTTATTTCTCTTTCTAGAAATTACAATGCTGAAATTAATAGTGTTTTAATATATTTAAATTTGTCGAATCTGGAAGAGGCTGTTTGCAGCCAGTGTTGAAGAAACACCGCGTTGATGTGACGAATGCTTCAGGGTGCAAAGCGTTATTTCAGACTAGTAAGTTATTCTAAATTTGACGAAATGGAATAAATAGATTTGGAACATCTATGTCCTTTGGAAATGAAATAGACAGGTGGTGAATTGAAACGTTATTGGATGTTGAACATTGAATAAGCTATAATTTACTTTTTGAATTATTTACTTTTTTGAGAGCTTATTATAACTTCAAAATATTATATGGTCATAAAGTGGTCCTTGAGTAAGTTAGTGGTTTAGTCTTTGGAAAGTTTTGGCACATTAATGAAGTTCTAATTTCATAATTTAAATTACTTTTATATTACATTTTATATCTTGATTTTAATATATAAATCTTATATTTTAGAGGATTCATCATTATTAAGGCGGTCACCTCGGAAGCACCCTTCATCATCGTTAGTTCGTCCTACAACACCTGGAAAAATCAGTTCTTTCAAACCAGTGGCACGTCGAAGCCTAACCAATATGCAGGAATCAGAAATCTTTCAAAATGTGGAAAGAGTAAGAATTGTTTTTCTTGCAAATCAAATCAAGACATCATTTGCAAATTTTTTCAAATAAAACCATTAAATTATAAATGGTTTTAAAAGAAGAAAAAAAAAATTTTGCAGCCGTTTACGAATTTTATAATACCGGAATGTAAATCTCCTGCAGACATCGCTCAATGTATGTTTACTTGTTTTTATTATTTCACTTAGCTTTTGTACGATTTACTTTTTCAGCCCATAGAAAACAAAGAATTTTATTCTACTCATTGTTTCTTCCATTCCAAACGTGATGAAAAAGCGCTCCTTTATGTCGCAAAATATGATTCATTATACTTTATTGAAACCCAAAATAAAACTTTGCATTTTGTAATACAGCTTGCAACACGAATTGCTAATAGTGATGAAAGTATTTTATTGATTGCGCTTTTTATACTTTCAGCAAGTTTCAGCTTTTTTTTACTTTTTTACAAAATGCAGATGCTAGTAAGGATTATTAAAAAGCACGTTTTATTAGGTTGTAACGTTTATGTTTTTCTTTTCACGTGTAGTGCAACCTGGTGAGCAGATATTACGTCGTTCTCCACGGAAGCATCCTTCGTCGTATAATGAAGTTCTATTGTCACCACAAAAACCTTTGCTATTATCGCAACCAATCGTTTGTCGTCGTTTAAGCAGTCTGCTCGGTTCAATTAGTGATATTGAAAATGAAAAGGTAATTTTCATTTTATTAACCAAACTTTGAAACAAATACTTTTCCTGACATCACTATTTACATTACTTATTCAAATTCTGCAAAAAAAAAAAATGTGAATTCTCATTTCTTATTTTTTTCAGGAAAGTATCACTTTAAATAGTTCACTTGAATCAATCAGTAAGGAAGAAAATGATGAGAATCTGAAAGAAGATTCACAAGAATCAAACAATGCATGTGCCGAAGAAGAGCAACAGCCATTTCTGGATGAAAAAGAATGTTTGAAAAGAAAAACGAGAAGAAAAAATGAAAATTACCGGCGTTTAAAGATGAAAAAGAGTTATGTACATGGTACATCATTGGCAAAAAAGAATTTCAGAAAATGGCGAAGGACTCGTAACAAACGGTGATGCATGAAACTTGCACATTCCTTAATTATTCATTTTCTTAATTCTCTGAAATATTGTTGCCTTCTCTTTTGCATTCCATCCTTCGTTTTTAATCGTTTTGAGTTTGACATTTCATTCAAAGTCAAATTCGATTTGTTGTCATAATTCAATCCAATGAATTACTTGCTAATGAAAATTTCTGTTGCACATATTCACGGAGTGATAAGAATTCGATCATGCAGAAGATGAAATTTGAATAACTTTTGTCATATATGTTCGGTTAACGGGAAAGGCAAACGAGAACAGTTGAGAATCACAATTAATGCATACTTCCATAATGCTAGAATAGAAGCGAATAGACCTAATTCTCATCGGAACGCAAAAGGATTGCAAACTTCCCCAAAAAAAAAGGGAATTTCTTTTTTGAAGTCTTTTTAATTTAACTTTTATCTAAAATTCATATTTTATAGTTTACTTATCGTCTGTGAAATCTGGACACTATGATTGGTAAATATGCCAATCAGAATTAGCAGGCATATGGTTATTGGGTCAATTTCTATGGTTGGATTATTAACTTATTTTGACAGGGTTATTTGTCGGACTTATTGAAATCTACTGGTTCATTACTGGATTAATTTGTTATTGTGAGTGAAATTGTAATTAATGGATCCAAAATATTTGACGAAATTTATGAATTTTAGCCTACTGTTGCATGGTATTATCTAAGTAATTCACATAAAATTCATCTATTTCAATTAGATTTCCTATGTTATAAGTAATAGTACTAAGTGGATGATTATGTCAAATCAATGAAAATTATGAAAAGCGTTGTATTTGACCGTAATTTATAAGGACTTTGCATTATTTTAGCTAGCTAATTATGCTAACCACTCAATATACTTTGGATTAAATGAAGAGAAGTTTGCAAAATGTATTCGATTGGTACTTCTGAAGCTATACCATTGTCACCTATTTCTTTTTTGTATGAGAACATAATTATCCCGAGATTTCTTGAACATTATTTCAGAATATAACAAATGAATGTTGACTTTTGAATTTCAACATTATGCAGGACAGATGCAAATTATGGATATAAAAAGGAAAAAAATGATCTTCAGAATAATAATAGTAAAGAAAAAAGTGTAAAGCTAGTTAACTAGAACAAACAATAAGGTAAATTTGATATTTTATTCATTATCAGTGATATTTAGTTACAAATTTTAATATGTAAAAGAATTGAAAAAAAAAAAACAAAAAACAAAAAATACATATCGTTTGATAAAGTTCTCTTCTCATTAAAATGATTACAAAAATACTCCAAGAATGAAATTAGATAACAATCCAACAAGTATTTCTTTTTCATTTTTGAGTAACTAATTAATCATTTTCAAGTATTATTATCGCTTCCTGATAAACATATACAATATGAATAATATTTTGGAAATGTATTACAAAGTTGTAGAGGCAAAAAAAAAAAAGAAAAAGAAAAATAGCGAAGAACAAATGTTCTTCCAAATACCCTGCTCAAATACGAGGAACTTGGAAGAAAAAAACATCACTTTTTTTTTCCCTGCCTTATTTATTATGAATTACCACTATTAGTATTGTTTCCACTTGATATAATCAACAATAGAAGTTATCGATTTCTAATTCAAATTATTTCTTATGAATTATCAATTTCTGATTTAGAAATATTATAGGTAATTTTGCCTTTTTTTCATCAAACAATCAATGAAATAATAGACTTTCATCTACTGCTAATTTAATAGTTGTGTTTTTAATTCGATTACTTTTAATTTCTGTAAATTTTAATACTTTTAATTCTACTATTCATTAATTAAACAATAGTTTTTTTTTGAAACTTTTCCTTGCACAATTACTTAAAGCTTCACTTACGAAATGAAGAGATCACAAAAACAAAACGTTAGCAAATGTTACACTCATTTTTAATCCTAACTTTACGGCAGTGATAAATTAAACTGATATCATAACATATCAATCCCAATTTCGTAGTTTATAAATCATAACAAATAAATATGAATTCATTTTGCATGATTTAATAATTCCAAAAACTAATTTTTTTTCAGCATTTATTTCAAAAGTAATTAAAAATTTAACAAACTGCAAATTTATTTAATTTCATTTTTTTGAAATTTCAAAAATTATCTTCTCCTACACTTTCATACACTCCCCATTTGTTCTATTGGGATAACTGATATGATAGAATAAAACATGAAATATATGAATACTCCTTGTTATCACAATTAATGAATGCCTCAAGATGTGTCGTTTTTTTCTTTTACTTTCTTTTTCAATTAGATAGTTGAATGATTGATTAATTAATTACTTAATGAAAAAATCTTTCATGGAAACTATTATCAGCATCAATATCATCTAATTTCGATGCTATAGGATGTGTTAAAGCTGGTGACGGTGGTGATGGTGACAATTTCGCACGTTTCTTTTCATCATCAAGATAATTCTTCCATAATGCTGCCACAATATCTGTTGTAATTAAATCTCCCGCATTTGCAGCAATAATTCGTAGGATAAAAATGCCATCTTTACGTAAGCAACGATTAATGAAATGTTCCAAAACATTATGTGCTATAATTAATAATTAATTATTGTACAAATTCATTGTTATATTTTAATTTGATTTAAATTTCTTTTCTTTATTTGGATTTTTTTAGAAAAACAAAAAACAAAAAAACTAACAAATGCATTAAAATATCATAAATGAATGAAATAAATGATGCAAAAACTGTTCTTGTAAAAAATTTAAAATATGATAATTTTATCACAAACAATTAAATTGTGTTAAATTTTTTATTTAAAATTACAAATAAAATTTTTAAAAATTACAATGGTTAAAGTATCATAGTAAATTTTAAGAAATTCAAAAAAAAAGGAGAAAAAATTGGTAATAAACAAAAATGAAATGGATTATAAAAATTAAAAAAATCGATTTAAACTTTCATTTAAAATTACAAATAAAATATTTCAAAAAATTACAAGCGATCGCAATATTTTGGTAATTTCAAAAATTTCAAAAAAGAAAGTGGGAATTTAATAATAAATAAAGATAAATGGAAGTAATATAAGAATTGAAAAAAGAAAAATTGATTTAAATTTTCATTCAAAATCATCAATTAATTACTTTAGCCAATTGCAAAGCAAATACGTTTTCTTAATTTTAAAAACGAATGGATGAAATATTAAAAAAAAAAGAAAAAATTAGGAAGGGAAAAAATGAAGCGAATCTATATGCTAACTGTTTATATTCTCACTAAATTTTAAATGATATAAATTGTTAAGCAAAAAAAGTGGAACTCGATAATTTTAAAAAAGTGAATCACTGAAAGAATGATTTAATAATTAGTAAAGCTAAATGTTATCATTGGATCATCAATTTTATCATTATTACAATTTTTTTCTTTCCATTTCCTATTAGTTTATTAATTACTTTTGCAATGCAAATAAAATTTCACCAGATGAGGAAAAAATTAAAAATATGGTTTAACAAAGTTTAACAGTAAGTAATAAATCTAATGGTGAAGTTTTACAACAAAGTTTAACAGCAAGTAATAAATATAAGTAGTAAATCTAAAGTAATACATAAAAAAATAATTTTGTCGTACTCAAAAGTTATTAAACAATAAATTTAGCATGCTATTAGAATAAAAGTTTTTCAATTTGCAAAGCATATAACCAAAAATAATTTAATTAAGTATAATTTGTTTTGGCGAATTTTTGTAAGTTAAAATTCTAGTAAGTAATAAAACTAAAGTAATACATTTTTTTTTTTTGAATTTTGTAGGTAATAAACCTAAAGTAATATACAAAAAATGTCGTATTTTCAAACATCTTTTCCCACCTTTCTTTCTTTCTTTTTTTTTTGTATTTTGTATTTTGTCACAAATTTACGATGGGAATTTATTCATATAAGAATGAAAGAAAAGAAAAATTTTAATAAGATTAGAAAATTTTGAATTATAAGAAAAATTCTTTCAAATCTTTTTTTTTTAAAAAATTTCATTACAAAAAAAGCTTAAAAAGACTTTCTCAAAGAAAAATTTCTACTAAAAAATTTAATTACATTACCTTGTCCATCCAAAAGCCCATAAACACGTAAGTACTGAGCAATGAATGAATATTGTTGAGTTTTAATGAAAGACATGCAGTACCAATATATTAACGAAGCTATTGTTGCTACGATCAACCAATAGTATCCACCACCACAAAAACAAATATACCTACAAACAAATAATTTCCACATACTATTAATTAATTAATGAATTGCATATATTGAAGACTAATCTTTTAATTACATTTTTTCCAAATTCTAAAGAGTTCCATAAAAATTTTCCTTTCTTATATATCTTATCAAAGTATAACTTTAAATAATATTAAAATGTACGTCAAATAATATGGTAAAGTGTAGTGTACGATAAACAATACGCTACTGTATAACGTACAGTACATTAGTTACCTAAACTAGAAATAACTTTGTGTAATTAATTACGGATGAATTAAACGAAAAATTTTGAAATAGATGGAATTTTGAAACACGCATAACTGTCAACTAAATATTTGTATCATTGTTAAGTTTTTTCTAAATCAATTTTAATCAACCTTAATTTTAATTAAATTTGAAATATTTAAGCTGAAAACAAACTTTTTCATTGAACATATTAATCATTAGAACACACTGAACAGTATGTCTATGCTTGTTGCCCAATACTCGAACATCAAAATCACACATTGTTACTCTGAAAGCAATCAAATATTTTTGGAAGAAAAAGGGAAAAAAAAACTACAATACTTAATTTTCAGTCATTGAAATCAAGTATTGAAGTCCCACTTTTCTTCTCATTTCAAAATCTATTTTTTTTATTTCATTCAAAGCTTTCGACATTTCAAAATCATGCGAAAAAATTTTAAATTATTATTTTATTTATAAAATCTGATATAGTATTCGAATTTCACAACATCTTTGCAAACTAGTAACTTAACCTTGGTAATTGATATTGATAATTCAACATAAAAGACGAAAAAAAAAAACCTCAAACCTCGGGAAATGTCCTGATTCTTGCCATTCGCGGCCGTTTGCTAAATCACGAAGAATCTCGAAACCCCAAAATGTATAATCGGTACCAATGAAGTTATTCAATATGATGAACTGTGTAATAGCTTGTAAAAGATAGATAAATTTCACCGACATGTACAATAATGTCAGATATGTTCCCTAAAATTAAATTAAAATTAAAAATTTCAAATTAAAAGAAACTTGAACAATTTTTTTTCAAATTAAAATTCAATCACAATTAATATATCAATATTGCAACCTTACAATAACAACAATTAATTCATTTGCAAAAATTAAAGTAAAATTAATTATTTAAACTTGTACATCTGAATTTATCATAAATTAACAATTTTAATTTAAACATTCCAAATAATAGCTTATTAAAAAAATTTTAAATTTTCATAATTAAAAACCAAATCATACTTTACGTAAAAGGAACGATATCGGACTTTGACGTATCAAATTTCGTTGTGTTTTTAATGAATCATAAATATGCGTTGCTACGACAGTTACCGAATCTTTTCGCTTATCAGATTGCATATTGCTTACATCTTGTGACATTAATACAATACCTTTTAGAGCTATTCCTAAAAAATAAATAAGGTCAAAAAAGAAAAAAAACGATGAAAATGTATGAAATTTAGAAATTATTTCCTTTTTTGAAAAAGTTATAGTCAAAGTATTTAATAAATGAATAGATAAATTTAATTTAAATTCAAAACAAAAGGCATATTTACCTTTTTTCTGCAGTTTTTTATATATACAAACATCTATGATTCTAACAACTTAATCACTCATTCTAATCATAATTATCAATTTTCATTTTTAGTAAAAGTTACCATTTCTTTTATTAAATACTTTAATCATCAATTTTTAATTATAGTTAACAATTATTTAATCATAAATCACAAATTATCAATTATCGAGCACATCTGTACAAGTACACATAACATATACACATAAAATATACGTAATACGCATACGGTAACGGAATTACGTTAAGTATTTCTAGTACAACTCAGACATTTTTCATTTAGAATTAAAATGAATTAAAACTCATTAGTGTTTATTCAGTATTTTCACTGAAACAAAATCTCAAAAAAAAAGAAAAGAAATTTCCGATAATGTGAAAAATTTTTGTTTCCTTATCAGATAAATAAAATTTTTCCAAAATTTTTCTAACAAATGTTTCAGGAAAAAAAACGTCAATAAAAAATTTTCAATTTTGTTGATGAAATTTTCGATTAAAACTGGTTATTTTAAATCAAATTATTTTTCCAATAAAAATAAATAAATGAACAAAAAAAAAGAATCAAATTTCACCTGATTGCCAATTAAGTAATCGCCAAATTAGGCATGGTAGATAAAATAAAATGCCCTGTAAGCCCAATATGAATGGTACCCATTGATAATAACCTGAAAAGAAGCCAACTATTATGTTACAGAAATTTAGAATGTTTGAGAGGGAAAAAAAAAACTTTTTTCTTTTGCTATAACATTTATTTATTTAACAAGTTGTAAACAATATTTTCAATGAAAATTTTCAGAAAAATAAACTTTTACTAAATTTTACTATCATATCTGACAATATTTACAGTAAAATTTCCATTTATTAAGCAATAAATTATATTGTCCAATAAATCTTATTGTTTTATCTGAGAATAAAAAAAACTTTAAGTGTGAAATTTTCAGTTTTGTTGATTAAACATTATATACATTTAAAGTAAACTTTCAATTAAACTTACTGCCTAATTGGCATTCATTGTATATATTTAAAGTTAATTTTTAATTAATCTTACTGTCCAATTGACATTATATACATTTAAAGTAAACTTTCAATTAATCGTACTGCCTAATCTTGGCATTGCATACATTTAGAATAAAGCTTCTAAAGTAAACTTTCAATTAATCTTACATGCTAATTGTCACTGTATACATTTAAAATAAACATTCAATAAATCTTATTGGTCCCTCACAAAAAAAAAAAAAGCAAATTTGCATTTGCATTTGACGAGAGAGAATTGTTGGAAGGTCACAAACAATTCCATCTTGCTTTGCTTTTTTCTTTTTTTTTACATCCCAATAGCGATGAAAAATACCCGTAAAAAAATGCATTCTAACATTAATGTTTATCAAAAATCATTCATTCAACAATAAATCAATCGCCATTAAATGAATGGCAGAATTTTGTCGCATACAAATAAATGCATTTTGTGGTAACACTTTTTATTACAGACATTTTACTGAAATACCAAAGTAACTGATATCGGAATTGAGTAAAACTTTATGCATAAATACGAATTCATTTAATCCATTATCCTAATCAATAAGACTATTGATTAAATATGATAATTAGGAGATTAACGCCTAAATAAGTTGAATTAGTAAATGATATTGAAATACTATTTAGAAAAAAAAAACTATTAATAGTTTTTTTTAATTTGAATTAATTTGGAGTAAATAGCATTCACAAAAGAATATTAATTGAAAATTTACAATAATGATTAATTTTCGAAAATTTTTCAAAAATTCAAAAAAAAATGAAAAGAATTTAAAAGATTTATTTAGTTGTATTACCATAATATTTCCTAAGAATTCTTATCTATCAAAATGAAATTGATCAATAATCATATATATTTGCCTAATTTACAGTTCATTCATTTATTTTATCTACTCTGAAATAAATGAAAGAAAAAAAATTTTTTGTTCTCTCTCAATTCCTTACAAAAAGGCTAAAAAAATGAAAAAAGAAAATTTACATAAAATTTCTTTGTAACATGACTGTGAAGGAAAAAGAAAACACTTCCTTTATTCCAATCACTTTCCGGTTCGTTAATGTTTTAGGTAACTTTTTTCGTACATACATTAAAAAAATTAGAGAGGGAGTGAGAGAAGTAAAAATTCGAAATTTAATTTTCGAAATTAACAAATTGAATCAACAAAAAAGAATTAAATTAAATTAACAAAAAAATTCTAGTTAAATTAACAAAAAAAAAGGTAAAAGAAGGGAAGGAGGAAATGGTTATTAGGCAATTTTCTTTTTTTTTTTCTTTATGTTTTCGTTCTCTTTTTTTACGTTTTTATTTTGTTTTTCATTTATGCATTAAAATAATAATTCCATCAAAGTAAACAAACGTACCAATTTCACGCTCTTCACGTTCTTGTAAGTCACGTGGAATATAATGATTCAGTGGTAAAAAGTAAGTATTTTGTATGAAACAATAATTTTCGCTGTACTGTTCCCAAGCACCTGAATGTAAAAAAAAAAAAATTGATTATCAAATTCTCGATCTGATAAAAAGAGGGAAAAAAGCGACGATTTAAAATATTTTCAGCAAAAAAATGAAAAAAAAAATGATTTTCTCAAAAAAAAGAAAAAATGAAAAAATGATTTTCTCAATTATGAATATAAAACATGTGATATATTTGAACGGTTGAATTGATTAGTAATGATGCATCACTAATTTATTTAAAAACCGAACTTTCTAATTTCTCAATATTCAAAAAAAAAAAAACCAGTAAATTGCGCCGGAATCCAACATTGAATCGGTTGTCCAACATACCTTTCAAAAAAAAAGCTTTTAAATCAATTAAAACATAGTGTAACAATAAATGCAAATTAACAACTTGCAGAAATTCAATAAATAAAAGAAAAAAATCAAATATGATTGTTCTGGACTTTTCTTTCATTAATTAATTTTATTATAATCTTTTAGTTCAATTTTTTTCAGTAGCAAACTTTATATTACAAAAATTTTTGCATAAATTTATTACCTAAAATGTAAGGTATAACTAATAGAAGTAAAGAATAGAAAAAAAGGAAAAATAAGATTGTTAAAGGTTATAAACTTGGAATTGCTTGAAATAAATATGTAACAAATGAAGTAATTAGTTAATTAGTTAACTAGTGCATTAGTTAAATAGCTGTTAAATTTTATCATTTTTTTAATGTTTTGAGATTTTTTCTAATTAATTGCAAATTATAATTATAAAATATCTAAAAAACGAACTGTTTAGCGCTAAGTGTTAATGCAAAAATAACGAGCAGTAAAGGTGTATAGTAATAATTGAGACGATCGATGGCATCATCATCGAATTGTGGTTTCAGACCCTTCAAGAATGCATCCAGAAATAACATCCTAAAATTACACAACTAATAATAACATCCTGAAATTATGCATCCATAAATGACAGGTACAAATTTGGTAAAAATGACATACTTACAAAATTGCATATAACATGAATTTCTTATTAGTAAAATAGAAATACAGTTAAGGAATTGTGGATTGTACATAAATAATAAAAGATATAAATATTTTTTAAAAAAAGGAGAAAAAAAAAACATACAATTATTAATTGCGCATAAAAAAATTAAGAAAAATTAAGAAAATATAAAACTTCAGGTAATTTTCAAATGAATCATTATCTTTTAAACATATCTTCTCAAATGAATCATTCCCTCTTTCTCATCATCCATTTAGCTTTTCATTTCATTTTTCTTCTATTTGTATCTAATAAGATGGGCATTTGACATTAAATATATGCAATATTTCGTCGTATTTTTGAAATTTTAAAAAAAGAAAAACAAAAAAAATAAATTGGTAATTATGGATATGAATACATATTTTCAGGAACTTAAATAATTGTGAGTAATGTAAAAATTGATTTCAAATTCTTATATAAATTTCACAAAAAAAAAAAACTGGAAGATTGAACAAAAAAGTTCATTGACCATATAAAAACATAAAAGAATAGCATCGCAGAAGATGCAATTAAATGGAAACAACTTTAAAAAAAGAAAAAAAATAGGCAAAAATTCGCCAAAATGACAGAATTGACAAGAGATAGAGTAATTTAATTATCTAATTGATGTTAGAAGAGATTTAAATTTGATCAAATTTAGTGTATTTGAATTAAAATAATGATTAAATTTAGGTAATGAAGTGGTATTTCCAATTAATGCTAATGATTTTACTTCCTAATGGGCAGGTGAAAGAAAACAAAAAAAGAATTTCATTCGTCTACATCCATAATTAAAGATGAAAAATATTTAGGCAACAAAAATTTGATAGATAATTTGCATTTGCTCTAATCTGCCCGCAGTACCATTTAGGATAATATAATTGTGAGTTAACTTGTGCAGTTTTTTTCCAACATAAACATTTTTTTGTAGTTTTTTTTTCTTAATTTAAACTTTTTAAGCTCGAATTAAAAAAAATGAAATAATGTAAATTAGCCTATTTCTTGACAGGAAATATGGTACTTCAGAGAAATAACGTCCCCAGTTTTCGACCAAACCAATTTCAGGGAGTTCATCTCCTTACCAGAAAAAAGAACTCTAATCTACGACTTTCCTCAATGTTCCCGTGTTCATTTGTAGTACCGCGTTAAATCCTCACGGAGATTTTGCATTTCCGTGTCCAGATATTGCCGGGTAGATTCGGGGATTTTTTTTTTCGAATGTCCATGGGTAAGTATCTATCATCTGCTAAATTATCCTAAATTAAGGGTAAATATTTCTATAACACTAAAAAGAAGTATTCAATAATATTACATTAAGGAAAAATGGAATTAATGAGGGAAATTCTTGTAATGTACTGAAATCTGAAATATTTTAAAGTTTTTATACTAATTTGAGATCATAAAATATGTTTAATTGAAAATAAAAATACTGTAATCTTTCATTGGCAAAATTCATCGTTTGATTAAAGAAAAAAAATTGTTTGGTAAAATTTTCTAAAAAATAAAAAGTGCGGAAAATTGTTAAGAAGTATTTGATATAAAATAAGTAATTGGGAAGCGAAAAAGTTAATTTTCCAAATAAACTCATTTCTGAGAAACTTTTTAAGAAGAAAATATATGTTTCTTTCATGGAAGCAAAAATTTGTTTTCTATAAATTAATTTTGAATTTTAAATTAGTTGTCATCATAAGAGAACATTGACAGGTATTTACTAAATTAGGAATAATTTTTTCTTTATAATTTTTGACATTTTTTTTGATATAAATTGATATACAATTCTCTTTTCATATCTTTCATTTTTTCCGTTCTTTTTCCTCTCTCTCCCTTTCTTCCTCTCCCTCTTCTAAAATAAAGATGAAAAAAAAGAAAAAGGAAGCAATTTTCAAACGAATCTTACTCTCAAATCTTTGTAAAATAAGATTTTTGATCGAAATCTTTCCAAACATTAAATGGAAAGAGTTAATAGTAAGCGATCGAATTCAAATGCAATTCAATTCAATTCATTCATCTTCCCGAAATGATTTCCTTTCATTTATAATGAATTTTCAATTTTTAACCAATTCAAGGTCATGAAATCAGCAACAAATGTTACAAAAGAAGATTTCATTTTCAAAAATTTCTCATCATTTCATCATCTATCCATTACATCAAACAATTTGTCATTTATTAGGATTGATCGATCATGTTTATTGAAATTGATCGATCATTATTCTCTTAAAGGTAATTAATCCATCTGTTAAGAGAATACTCTACTGAATTAAATATATGCACTTCAGTATAGTGCAGACCATTCTAATTGAATGATCTAAAAGAAAGGAATGAATTTTTTCGAAAGCATAAGTCTATGATAGGGATATTTGATAACCTTTAACCTTTTTCCATATTATTTCCTTTTGGTAGTAGTTGAGAATATAATATAATTGAAAATGTAATAGGAAATGTTGTGAATTATATTATGGAAAAGATTTTACCTTACAACTACAATAATTCCAATTATGTTTGAAGTTTTTATAAAATAAAAGATTTTTAATTTACCAAATTTGACTTTGGTGGACATTATTGGATAATGAGCAATGTCTACCAAAGTACTTACTGGTCAACTGCAATATTCAAAGGTCACTGCCGTTTGTTAATTAATCGATAACACATAGTTTGTAAATACTAGGCTTGAAACATAATCTTTTCTACATGTATGCAAATATTTATGCAACTTTGGCCTAGGATCAACAGCATAAGTTGCTTTTGCACTTATAGCAAAGGTAAAGTAAAGTAGAAAAAATACAAATAATGAACAACAAATGCTTTAAATAGTTAATATTAAATTAATAATATGTTAATATTTGTTCAGTTAATATCCTAAAATATTACAGGTTAAATCATTTAATGAGTAAACAAACTGCAAGAATTTTGAAATGAGTGAAAAATAAATATTAAGCAAATATATAAAAGATTAAAATGAGATCAGTTAGAGAGTACCTAAAATATTTTTTGCTTAAAAACATTCCAACATGAATTTTGCAATTAGTAAATTTTTAATGTATCTGAAAAATAAAAACTCTAATGACTGAAATAAATCATTTTATTTTTCATTTTAAATTTAAAATTTCTAACAATAAAAAAAAACACAAAAAGGAAACGTACAATAATTTAACTAAAAATCAAAAAGGAAAAAAAAACGAAAATGATAAATCAAATTGCAATTTTGTAAATTTCACTAAATCAATACTAAAATTATTCATACAAAATTCTTCAACACAAAACATTTCATTTGCAAAACTGTTCGAAGATATATGCGCAAATAATCAGAAATATATTTATCGATTGGATTTTTCTTTTCTTTTTTTCTTGCCCTTCAAACTTTTTAATTATTAAACCTGTTTAATTAATGAAACAAAAAAAATGCTATTTATAGTATTAAAATTAGAAATCTTACTTTTTTTCTTGCACAAACAATAAAAATAACACCTTACGACAAAATTTTAACTTTTTTTTTTTAAAAAAAAGCGAATTCCATTTTTACGTAACAAAAATGTAGCTATTATTATTACATTACTGATTTGAATTTATAGAATGAATGATATATTTGAAGAAGCAATCATATATTACAAGAAATTTTGCAGCATTGTCATCCTTGTTTCCTCATTGTCACTCTTGTCATTACACTCACCCTCTTCTTCATTCTTAGTTGATTGATATTTACAAAAATGTAATAATAATGAAATTATTGAAAGAATTTTTTAGCTCTTTCTTTCCATCT